TCGAGTAGTTCAGGATAAGATGACTGTAAGATAATCTTACGGAAAACGCAGAGCCAGAACCACGCTGACAAGAGGCGGTACTTTGGCAAACAGAGGGAATTGTCGTCGCCCTTTCGGGCATGCCGCACCTCGAGAAATGTATCTCATATCAGCATAACGACAGGCCTAGATGTTGTTCAGCCTTCTTCCTTGGCGGAACCCCTCGCCAAGGGAGCACCGTGCAGCCGACGCCTATACGATGCCTGTGCTTGGAATAACCTCTCCTTCGCCCGTAGGATCATCAGAAGAGTAGACCACCCCTTGCGAGCGCGACTCATTTAGCCGCCCTCTCCGGTAATAGCCGCCGAGACGGAATATTACCGTCCAGGACGTTACCAGCGGGGACCACGAGGAAGCTGAGTCGCATTCTGTCTCTAGCGGGCTTACAGGACAAGCTTTTGTAAGAATTTAGATGACAACAAGTCGTCATCCCACCCTCCCGACACATAACTTCCATGAGGTTGTTATGCCCGCGACTCTGGCTAAACAGTCAAGAGCACTCTTTCTTCGTCACTGCGGGACGAAGAAATCAGACGGCCAATAACAGAGATATGCCGAAACTGTACCACCATTACTATCGGACCGACCGCCGCGAGTGGACGTCTCCCCTTGCCCCTCTATGCTTTGAAACCAAGAGTCGGCGGCCGTAACGTGAGAGGCGAATATATAGTATCTTTATGTTTTTCAAATAATAGAAATATAAGATCACGAATTAAAAGAATGAACCATTTTATAGATTTCATTCAACTGAACAGTCTAAAGGAAGATTATGTTTTATTACTTACAACTTACTTAAAGAGTGAGATAACCGAGTTTCACATATACCAAATTACATTAAGTTATTGGACGGCTAGATACATACAGAAATATAATTGAATAATTGTGAAAGACATTTTGACCACAAAATTACTAAATATACTTTCCGTTAATAATAAATGCGTACGTTTTACAAACGTCAAGAAATATCTTGCAATAACGAATTCAATAAGAAGAATAGTCGAAATAAATATAAGTAATATTGATTAGAATAAATAATTATCCAGATATAATACATTGTCGATCTATTACCTTTAGTTTTGGTGGTGGGGTAATTGCAATTATTATTATTAATATTTAGCGTAATATTAATTTTTTAATCATAGATCAATTACTTTTTTAGTGCATCTGTCTGTATATAAAAGTTACACTGTGTTCCGTTTATTTTAACAAAGTCACTCCCGCTTCAATAGACTTGCTCCCTTATTCAAAAATTCCGTTTTGGAAACTCTAATTATCCTGCATTATTCATGTAACAATAATTCCTTAAGTTTTTATGTTGTGTAATTTCACTATTGAATTTCTCGTGTTTTGATTTTACGTTGGCATTTTTGCGATTCTTGATATCCATGTTGCAATCACTTACGTAAGTACATATGTTGTTGCGACATGATTAACAAGTTATGGGCCATTACGGCCGCCGATGACCGAAGCCTCTGAATTGTTTGAAAACAATACGTAAGACGGTTGATATTAAATGAAAATATCAATAAATGTGTTAGTACTTTCGATGACTTTGAAAAATATTTTCAAAGACGGCACTTCGAACAATTTTTCCTATACATGTAATACCTGGTCTCTTTTAGTTTTCGTGATATTCACAAAAATATATAGAAAAGTTACTTATAATAACTATTTTCCTAATTATTTGGCCATTAAAATTTCACATCAAGCTGAAATTTTTCATCCATACCATCATGTATTGATGTTGTTTCTTACAATATACACACAGAAGTTTCACACTAATCATAGAGATTGGTATTAGCGGGACTCATTTTTCCAATCTGATAGGATTATTGGCTCCGCACTTCCCCGTTCACCATCTTCCTGGAAAAACAAGTCCCACTGATGCCAATCTCTACTATCTGAATGAAACTCAGTTTTCCATATTATACGGAACAACTTCAATAAGTAAAGAAAAACATATGATACGATATATGTTTTTATGTAGAATGGAAAACTAAAAGAGATCAGCTATTGTAAGTACATATAGGAAAGACTTGTTCAGAATGACGTTCTTAAGAACACATGTATAGAAAATAAAACCGAAAGTATTTCACCGGGCGGAAGATGGCATTGTGACTACCGAACAACCAATCTGAATTCGTAACATGGGCTGAATAGGTTTGACTGTACCAAAGGACACTTTGAATCTCCGGTGTAGTACTGCGTGTCCACCTGTCACCAAAATCGCAGAGTTCCGAAAAGATATAAGCCGCGCATGATTTGGCAAGCACTGATACTCCCCCTGAGTTTACAATAGTTTACTTTGTTCTCTATTCCATAGTTGGTTTCACCCAACAGTGTATTCTACAACATAACCCTCAATTTAATTCGTACAGTGAACTTTTTTACCACGACACTTCCTGCGACACTGTCGCGTCAATTTCCAAAATTCTATTTTTTCTTAGTTGTGCAGAATAATAAATACTAAGTTTGTATTAGAAGATAGAGTTATTTAAAAATAGAGTAAACATAAAAGACAGAAATCTTAAAATTACTGTATAGTTAGTTGACATGAATAATTAAATATTATGTAAACATTTTATTAAAATCTTTGATTAGAAATGTCATTTTCATAGTCATAGTTCTATTACCTTAAAATCATAACAAAAGCAATTGAAAAAAAAGTGCTTTAAATTACGAAATAATAATTTCTTAATCGTAGAAAATTATAACGTTAAGTATCTATCTGCTTACTCTGGGGGTTTAAAATACATTGTCCAAGGGGAAAAATACTGAGGAAAACGATCAACAGCTCTCATGTCAATTGCGATAACTTGATAAAAAATATTTCTTATAAAAATATGTCAGATAACATTTGTTTTATCAGCTGTGAATTGTTTTGTACTTTACTTTTAGAACAATATTACTGAGAGTTGTTAATATCAGTATTATAGGAAGGTTGGGGTTGTTGGTAAATATTTAATGTAAAAATCACTCAAAGCTGTGAAGAAAGAATAAATTTATACAGTGCACATTTGATAATTGCAACACTGGGGACCTTTTCATAATTGCACCATCGTCATTCTCATCTTATCCCCACCAGGTTCTTTTTTAACACACCATAGCGCTCAACGACCGGTCGCGGTTGAAGAGTGTAACATGATGGCGAAAGTTTCATTTATCAGGAGTAAAAAATAAAGATGTTTGATTTCTGAGTTAGAAGTCTAGAAGATATTACAATTATCAAATGTTCACTGTAAAAGTGGGCATCGACGCGACGTCGTTGTTCGCCTCTTCCAAGCGTAGCGGCGGCGTAAGGTTTAACCCTTTGCACTGTAAAGGTGACTCTCAGTGATCATTTGATTTAATATATCAAAATTACAAAGCCTTACACACAATATTAAACTCTGTATAATTAATAAATACGTGAAATATAGAAACAATAACTTTGTTTTTTAAGTTATGTGTGTTCTATCGTTCAGTTCATCTAAAAAAATATCGTCTGTAACTCATTAGAAACTATTGAATACTTCTGGTCAAAGACTTCCGAGTGCAAACGGTTAAAAGTGCATAGAGGTAAGGAGACTATTCCACTCACGATGCTTGGGCCGCCTTAGTTTTCAACGCATAGTCATCATTGGTGCGCAGCGATAACACAGGACGGAACTGAGATGTAATACGGCGAAGTCAGACGGAACTATAGAGAATTTTTTTCTATCGTTTTATATACTTTATGTAAGACAGGATTTTATGGGATGAATAATAAAATTATGTAAATTTGGTTTAAATGTTACTCCTTTAATCTGCCGTTCCTCGCTTGAAGATTGCAGAAAAAATGCCTTGAGAAGAGCGTTGTTTAGCCAGAGGACCCACTATGTCATTTAAGTCCAGTGTTACAATGATATGATATGTATTTTTCATCAGTTTATGATAACTGATTTCACTAAATCGTGCTGTAAGGAAGACGGTTTCTGAAAGGAATGCGGGCTTGAAAAGTCATTCATACATCCGTCCCATCATTTATGCGAAGTAACCATTGCACATGGATTCGTTTTATGCGAATGAAAATTATGTAAGATTGTTAGCGTAAAAGGAAACAAAACATATTTAGATAGAAACATTAGTATAAGTTTTAGAAAAATAATAAAGGCATATCAGAAAACAAAAGTATATTTTATTCGATGTCACTATATTGAAATCGTACAAATTGATATCGCGTGTAAACAGTAACGGCGTTAATAATTATAGTGTTATAATATGCCCTGTAAACAAGAAACTGGTAAAATGAATACTGCGTAAATGGAAGGGTGAGTATACTAATTCAGTTGCGTCATGTGAAGCACACAGTGACTCTTCTTGCCCCTATGCCTTCCCACATGCCGTTTTCCCTGCAGCAGACCCTAATAAGTATAATTTTGGTCTGCGGATAATTACGGTTTCTCATTCTTGAGCAACAATTGAATTGATCAGTTCGAAATAAATGACAATTGATGTCATATTAAAACAAGAAAATATTTGCTCTGTGGTGGTCGATATTTCTCCGAGGGCCTGGTAACGAACGGATTAAGATTCTGTTACGGTACAACAATTATAATTCCTATTTTGTCATATAGCTTGAATGTGACGAGAATATAAATGTGATTATACGTGTAGAGAATGAAACTTTACAAAAAGTTAATGTTATATACTACCTGCTCAATCTAATAGTGTTCTTCGTTTCACGGACCATAAGTGCTCGTTCCCAGAAATGAACAGCTTCTGGTAGAATAGTATTCTGAAATAAAACAAACGATAAAATATAAGCTTGGACGACTTTAGTCATTTCATTAATTAATTGATAAAAATGACACAATTTCAAATTTGCCATTTTTAAATTGTTGATACATAAATAATTATTCTTAATAATTTATGATATTAAATACTTATATTATAGTACTTCTATTTTAGTTCAGTATCTTATTATAATATCTATTGTAAAAAGATTCAAACCAAACGCAAAGGAACAAGCAAGAAATATCGAAATTTGTTATGTATAAACTTTATTACAACGGTACAAATATGAAAGCCTCGTATCATTATATAGGTCTATGGTAGAGTAAAAGCAACAAAAATAATTGACAGGTAATAAGTAAATACTTAGAAATATATATGGAACAAACCGATGTTCTTGAAAAAAGTAAGTAACATTATGAGTTTACAAAGACAGTAATGTGTTTTTCTTTCAAAATTTAGGCAAATTTAGAACTATCTTTAAAATTTGAATACTTTGTTTGGAAAATAATTAATAAAAAGATTAATGAAGGTAGTCCGAATTTAAAAATAAAGTACCCGCAATTATACATGGTATGGAGCTATATGACAGCTCAACGTATTGAGCAAATACTTTCCATTTAAAAATATTACAATTCATTTAAATATTATTTAACTGATGGGACATACACTTGTACATTAAAAAATTGTTTAATACAAATTCTGGATCAGTGCTCCAAGGATTCGGATAACTTTTTCTTCAGCACGATCATGTAAGTTACCATAAGATTAAATAATTTGAGAACTACTTACAGCAAAAAGATGTATGAACTATATACAGAATTTCCAAAAATACTGAAAAATAAATAAGGATGTTTATAAACTATTAGCTTATCCTGAAAACAAATTTCACTGTCCTACTGTATACAGCAGTGCTCGGTTAAATTTTAAAACTCCGGGGCCTAGAATTAAAATTCTCGCGAGCAGGGTAGCGTTCTTCTATCAAAAATTGACTCGACCACAGTTTGACAAAGTCGGAGAATGAGTATAATGAGTAGAAAAGATATATATATAGAAACAGAAATCTGGAAAAATATAGATATATTCATAAAATGATTAACCACTTTCAATACTTTATGGATTTAGAAAAAGGGCATGTAATTAGGTTATTAAACCATTATAACAAGCTTTTGGAACTGGCTTAACTAGAAATGGAATAAAAAAGATTACGCTTACTGATCACTTATATGAATATTTGTGAGGATATGAAATAAAGGGACTGGGATTGGTCCACTCATTGAATTACTAGAAGATATCAAAATATGTATATGTGAAAAATTAATAATACAAAGATGTCAAATTCCTTTACAATATCTTTTGTCGGTAACTCTTGGATGCTGGAATCTCATTCTCCCTTGTATTGGCAACGTAGAGTATGACACTACAGTATGAAAATGCTTGCAAAGTTTGATGTCCTAACTTTCGAATCTCTAAAGGTCTATCTCGTTAACATTGTTTGGAGAAACTTCCGATAACCTAACAAATGGGGCATGGCGAGAGACCGGATTTTGCAAGTAGTTTCATTTTGCATAAAAACAGTGTTTGCGAGGAGGATGCTTGGCAATGCTAAGAGTTAAAATGCACAATTTTGCAAAAAAGTGTTTTACCATTTCAGTGTCACTGCTTATAATTTTTGCATCGCGAAAATGTGTACGAGAAGAATTTGTAGAAGATTTAAAGCTAAAATGCAAAATTCTTCAGAAAATTGTTTTATCATTGTAGTGTCACTCTTTACCTACATTGCCCACACAACATACAATAAAATCAGAATAGTATTCAATATTTTTTCGTTATTAATTTAAGGTATATACATATTTTATGTCTTCTAATAACAGCATAAAAGGATCTACCCCAGTTCATTTTATTTTATAACGCCATTAATATTCACATGAATGGTCAATGTATCCTCCCTTATCCCACCTCTACTTAATCACGTCTGCAAACTTCGCCAGGACGATTCGATATTCTAATTATGCGCGCAGTTTTCCGAATCCACAAAATTTTCTGAATGATTAACAGTTTTATGAATGTACCCGCATTTTCCAATATTTATATATTCTCTCAAACATTCAATATGTAATTCTGTTCGAAGAGCTACATGTTTTTATATTAACGATATCAGCATGTTTTTGCCCCGTTTATAATCGGGGCATACTTCTAACCAATATTTTCCATCTGCATGTTTTATCAAACCTATTAATAAATAGAAGTTAAATATAAATATTGGAATAATTTGTGGCGATTGAAAAGTAAACGTGTGGGCGGAGAGGGGCTCTGCAATTGCCCTTGCATTACCACCCCGTGAAAAAACTAACCCCACTCATACCACGAATCAATTTGAAATACCGTTAGTATATAATATTTGTTAATGATATATATTGGAAGCAGGTTATTTATGTGAAATAATAATACAAAGGGCTTAGTGAAAAAGGAAAGGTAACTTATATATTTATAAATATTTAGAAAATGCTGACAGAAATACACCAGGACTTTCTATGTCCTGTTCCACCGACTGTTCACCGTCGAACTGCTAGAAAGAAAGCAGCCTTCAATACTTATATTCTAAAAAATACAATGGTCAACATCTTCAGGAACGCTTGATGCTCAGGACGGACTTCGAAGTCCTGGGTCTTTTCCTGGTCGCTTTATTGCGGATATAAAGGCGACACCCTGATCATTTTGTATGCAGAGTTATCTATGCGTAACTGTTTTACTTCGACAATATTGAAACTATTTTGGTGTATATCTGTATCGTACTAAGTATCCATGACCCTCCCTGTAATCGTCCCTTTTTGAATTCCCTGCGGCTAAGTTTGCGCTCATCGATTTCCACTATTGTACCTGGACCACTAATTAACCTCTCGGTAATTATTTACAACACTGATTCTTCACCGATTTGGATGAGCTTGAAATATGTTGTCCAAGTCATCACTCTGAATAACTTTTTCCTATATGTGTGACCGCCGCTCGGTCTTAGTTTTCTAGATATTCGTAAAATATATCTGTGCATGAGGAGCTTCCGTACTTATTTACGAAAACAGTAACGCTCGTTTGAGATTGATCCTGACATATATTGTTAAGGTCCTTGTTCTGTATACGTAGGACTTTAAATTGTTTAGAAATAAATGTTAGTTCAAAAGTTATGAAGCCTTAAAGTTTGACATTGCGCTAGAAGTCTTCATTTTCATTTTCTGAGGTTGTGTTCCTTTTAATATGTGTACTTGAACTTTATTTAGATAATACAGATTGGTATTAGTGGGGCTAATTTTTTCAGGTTGCGGGTACAAGTTCCGTCCCCTTCCTCTAGAGAAAATAACTCCACTAAAACCAATCTCTGTTAATTAAACGAAATTTGAGATTACGAAAGGCGAAAATTTTTAGTGCAATGCGAAACTTTAATGCTTCATAACTTTTGTACCAATACTCACTATCAAAATGTTTATAAATGTTTATAAATAAGTACGAAAGATCTCCATTCTCGGATATATTTTTGTGAATATCTAGAAAATTAAGGCAGAGTGGTGGTAACATGTATTGGAAGAAGTTATTCAGAATCCAGTCGCCCATAACATATTTCAAGGTCATCCAAATCGGTGAGGAATCAGTGCTGTAAGTAATTACCAGTGTCTCTTTGATATCATATCTCTCTACCATACACTGTACAAAATAATTATATGGGACAAAGTATTTTTAAATTAAAATACAAGAAATACAATTCTTTGTTTTGTTTTTATCAGTTTCATAACACTTATGATTGCAGGTAAAACGACTGTACTATTAAATTTTTGGTTCCTATTTATTATTATTATTATGCTATTACTGCAGCTTTGATTTTTTATTTAAAAGTGCATTTAGAAATGTGAAATAAGTGTAACGTACAAGTAAATAAAACTGAAATCTTTACATTGTGAGAACAATTGAAGTTGTTCAATTTATTTTCACTTCATCTATAATCATTTCACGCAGGTTGTCATTTAGGAATTTATCGCGAATGTTATTAATCGTCGGTAAAACAGTTTCTTAAAAAATAATCAAATATAATGAAAATATATGTTATATGAAATAAGTTCATTATTTATTACATTAATAGATGATCAGTAATGTTCTAATAAGATTAACTTGTTACATTTGACTATTTCTATAGAAGTTGTACTCATCGATGATTAGCAATACGTATACATTCACACATAAATTTAAATAAAACAACAACCAGCAGTTCAATTGCATTTAAATTATAACATTTAACAGCACTTGTATTATTTTGCAGGTAAACAAGTATGTTGCGTTACGATACCTGCGAACGTATTGCATAGTCGGTAAGTTAGTTTCCTAAGTGTTACTTCAGCGACGTATTCTGTAGTCGATAACTGAGTTTTCTATGTTCCGAATAAAATGTATCGATGTATAAAAGCCGAGCGGGCTCATACACTGGCCGCCTCACATGAATGGCGCACTGCATACGGCAGCCCTAACAATGCACCCCCCACTCGCAGTGGGGTATTTGTCCGATTTGAACAACCAAAATTAAAAACAGGTTTGTATAAACATTTTACAACAAAATATGGGGATGTAATATAATAATATGCAGTTATGTAGCATGTAACAATACATTTATTAATATTAATTATATATAATTTCATATATTTATATAAAAAATTATATATCCATTTATGATATATTACACGATGTAATATACAATAATATAATATATAATACATAACAATACATTATAAATAATATATAATTGTTTAATTTATTGATTTTCTATCAATTTTCTATATTAGTGAGCAAAATTGAAAGATCAGAAAATTCCCGTTAAAATATTGTTGAAATTGAAAGCGATATAAATTTATAAGAAAAGCATGTGTTTCGAAGTATTAAGTTTTATGACTTGAGTAAGTCGCCATCTGAAACACTGCAAATCACGACACACGGAGCGTTGCGGTAAACAAAATGCTCAAGAAC